AAAAGGCGAAAAGGAATGCTAATTGAAGTTGAAGATAGGAAGTTAAAAAGAGGGCAAGTTTTCGAGAAATTTGTTACAAACAACTAACTATCCTATCGAAGTGTTTACGCTTCCACAAGACCAGTCCATCCTAAGGGCAGTAGATGTGGAAGTCATACATTCAGTGTTTCCAAAAATGCACAAAAAAAGTGATTTCCAGGGAGAGAATGGAACTTATTAGTAATTTTCAGTAATTAGCAGTTTTTCTTGGCCCACTTTGTGTATAGTGTTATTTGGTGATTGCAAACCCATTAAATACAAAAAACTCGAAGTAAAACTAATAATCGAGAAAAACAACCAATGAGAAGGGTGCGGTCCACCGTTGAGCCGCGCTGTCCCACGCGACCAAAAAACCGTGGCTCACCGTTGAGCCGCGCTGTCGTCAAAGGGTTAAAGAATATTTCCGCTGTTATGTCGGTAAAGTAATTCAAAACTCGTAAGAGTACATCTTATTGCTTCCGGAGCTGATGTCAAGAAATCTTGAGTCGCAACTGAGCATTTTTTTCATCGGATTGAGCCTTATTCAATACATTCTCTCCATCATGGTGCAGTTTCTTAGCAATTTACTATCTGTTCGAAAAGCTGTCGAGTTATTCAGAATGAGGCTAATTATTAGCGGTAAAGACCGTCTGAGCCCTGGCGGTAGTCCTTAAGCGTTGAAACGATTTACAAGTGCTGACGTCACATTCTTCGGCTAAATTAAATGTACTTTGTCGTGGTTGCTTGCAGTTAAGCTGTGTGATTAGGACATGACTAGCAAGAGAAAGGCGATTGCATTTATTTGATGGTTGAGGATGGTTACAGGGGCTGATCCATAAACACATTCCGAGTAGGACTTTTTTCTTGTTGTATAGCATATCGCTTTTTTTAATTTCCATCCCAGCTTTACAACCCTGTGAAGAGGGCCGTTCCCCCAAAGAAACAAATCTCTGGACGCCTCACTACTGGGCTCTGTAGTCTCGTTTGACACCCAGATGAGGAAATTTTGACAGTTGAAGTAATCAGCAACAGCTAGACTGGCCGAGTTTTCCAGTGCTTCCAAAGGGTTTCGTGATGATACTGCTTTCATTTTTGTACCACTCTTCTTCAGACGGAAATTTTTGAAACCGATTGTGCTTCCGATGTGAAACTATCCCCCCTTAGGTTTTGGATTTTTCGCAGTTCGAGAATTGTGTCTCCCCACGTAAAAGAATCAGAAGATACAATTTTTATCAGAAGGTGTTGGAAGGGATACACCTTTGCGGTTCACTTTAGGACTGGTGTTCCGCTTCCAATTCTGGGCACTAGAGAACGCTTAGGTTGTGAACGTTGTGTACTTTGCGTACTGCTGAACGTTGTTTTCAGTGGACCTCCAGAGCCAGTCCTTTTGGACACCTCTTCTATACTGCCTGATAGAATACTGCTTATGGACGACTACTTCCATGTGTTGATATACCACGGACAAGTGAGTTTTGTTTTGTTTTGTTTGTTTGTTTGTCTGTTATTTGTTAACAACTCCCACTTGATAATTGAAGACGATCGCGGCATGGAAAAAAATGAATTACCATGAGGATCCACAGTATGCAACGTTCAAACAGCTTCTCGAAGCGCCAGTTGGAGATGCAACGGCTATTCTTCAAGAGCGATGGCCCATGCCTCGATACATTGTGACGGAATATGAGGGATCTCAAGTTAGTATAGTTCGATTTCAGTTGCGCCAAAAGTTTATAGAGGGAGAGACTGCAATTGTTTTCAGGCTCGCTTTTTGTTGTCCAAGGTCAATCCATCTCTAACGCATAATAATCCTTATGCATCGGTAAGTTTTTACTACGCTTTATTTTTTTATAGTATCATTAAATTGCCGGCATTACGTACAGCAATCATCCAATCATTTCCCGGAAGTGGAATTTTTTCGGGTACACTCAGAATTGGTCTATTAAAAAGAGGGGATCGTCAAGGACCCATTTGCTCTTCACAAACCTTTTTGCTGAGTTGAGATAACAAGCGTTTGTCATACAATCTGCCATCAACTACTTTCTTCGGTTCGAGATTGATCTCAAACCATTCCCGATTAATTCTTTTGATTATTGCAACTTTTTTTTATAAGTTATCGATGGAATAGCGGCCTTCAATGGCATTTTTTTGAAATCTCGAGGTTCATTTGTTGATTTTGTAGGAGGGTGGAGCTCCAGTGTTCACGGATGATGTTTCGTTGCAAGTTTTCATGGAACATCTCAAAAAACTCGCTTCCTCGTCATCTACGTAAACAGGACGGCCAATACCCAATCACTTGACTGTGAGAGCTATGCCGACGAGTCTTCATAGTAGGAGGGTCGCTTACGTCCCTCAATGTTCTCTCTGACCCTGTTATGTCTACGTTAGCAGTATTTCGAACAAAATTCTATGATCATGTGATATAAGAAAGCATTATTGTTATCAGAAGTTGTTTTTAGGGGTGAAGATGTGAGTTAATTTATTTATTATAAATACTTATGTTTTCCAATGGCATCAGATAAACGCTGCACTTCTGATCGTGTCAATTTGGGTCTTAAATATTCTATTATTATTGCATTGGAATCATTCACTGTCGGTAGGAGCAATGGATTATGAATAACCGTGAGTTGGAAATTCGTGAAAAGGGCAAGTTGAGGCCTGAGGAGATGTTCAGGACCATCAAAATCCAGGTATTACACAGTACGCTTCCAATGTGCTGAGTGTGAGATATGCGAACCAGACAAGTACGAATATCACCGAACTGATGTACTTCGCCCTTACAGGACCACCCAGTTCACCAGCTATCGATTTGTTAAACCTGAAATGGGTGGCAAAGTTACTGGAGATCCGGGAGGCGGTGCCCAGGAATGACTCGAATGAAACTCAACGGACCTTCGGAATTGTAGAACCGCAATGCAAATAGCAGATCCAATTATGAACATCGTTACCGAAAATGCCAACGAACCAGTTTGTACCCTGAAAATTGCCTAATATTAATATTAATAAAGCTTTGAAGATTTCCTTCCAAACGACGGTAACAGTAGTGATTACCGTCTGGTTTAAGGAATACGCAGAACAGTGGACAAGGTGACACTGCTTCTGCAACTCAACATCCTTGAGTTAAGCTACCTCTAGAGCTACGTCTACGCTACTGTGGGATTGAAACGGAATTCCTGTATCGATTGAGAAATGGGGATAAATTTTATGGGTTAAACCCGTCCGTAAAGTTTGGCAAGACATTTTGAGCTGAAATCTTGTTCTACAGTCTACCCAGTACACTCTCAAGTTCTTCGCGGTTACCTACCACCAATGGCAAGATGAAACTGAGATGGTAGATGAGGCCAAGTGGCATCATTGCATTGAGGAAGCCATGTAAACATTTTAGTGAATTCTGAAGAGCAGTAATGGTCAACCTCCACAGGACGGTCTTGATTTGACTGAAGGTCTATGCGTTTGAAAATGAGTGCGGGTCTGCTAGACTCGTCCGTCACAGTGCTTTGGGACAGACTTTCACAAATGATTGATCTGGCTTAAAGTTGAGAATTTCTACTTGTTTTGTTGATCAGAAATTGGAGGGATCAATAAGAGTGAGATTTGTCCTCGATTGCTCATGGGTAATTTTAAATCTCACCCCTAGATCTCAGCGGAAAAGTACTTAATGGAAGAGTTACGATCAAACACCCCTAAAGAGCAGGGACAGAAAAAGGGCCGAAGAAGGACTCCATACATTCAAAGCTACTGCCTTCAGCTTTAGCCGAAGTTACTTGTAATCAGTGACATCATTCAAGGAAGGAAGCCAGACATGCGGCTTCCGAGACTCTCGTCATCTTATCAGCAGGAGGGAATCACTTACATGAATCTAGTACCGTTCCATGCATGAACACATGCAGCGATTGCCCACGCAATTCCAATGCCCAGAAATACGTTGACAGCGTTCGAACCCGTTACGTTACCTAAACAAAAAGGAAACTTGAAGTCAGCAAAACCACTGCTCAGGAAAGGACCTACCAATAGAGCTGTCGGCCCAGTTATCCTGTATGGCTGCTGTTTTTGACGCGAAGGTGTCTGAAACAGAGATGGATGTTCATGGAAAAAATGCATCGTTGGTAATCTGCAGGTAGGTACCTACCAGGAACACTGGTTCCCATTGCGACAAGCGAGATAGCTGTCACTGCATCCTTCATTCCTACTGTACATCCAAAATGTGACGCTAAATCGCCAATAACAGCCGTCAAAAGTCCTATCATTATGATGGCAAAGAAGAAGCAGAGCCAGCCTGGAATTACGATTTTTCAGGGGTGCAGTTCGCGACGAAACAGTTCACGATTGATAACGTAGGTTCAAGCCAAAAAAATCGAGCGGCCTGCCTTTCTCGCTGCGCCTGACCCATGCCGTTGAGAATTCAAGTCTTTTGACACTCACCTTTGATAACTACACTGCTAAAATGTACTCAAGTAGCCCTAGAAATAGTAGAGCCCAAGTTCGACTCTTAATGAATCTAGGCATTTACTTTACCGGAAATAGTTCTCTTTTTCTGTACTAGATCAATTGTATCTTGAGGCTCTGCATTGCTGGCAACATATGAGAAGCTCTAGAGGATATGTGGGTGAAGAACGAGTTTTCCGTCATTACTCAGTACGTCAGCTCACAGGTGTTACCGTGGCGAGCGGAGCATTGTATGACAGACAGGGGTCGGACCAATATCCGCCTAGGCCAACCAAGGCTTCCACACCTCCGGGGTCGATTAACTGGTTAAAGGGTTAGTTGGGACGATAACAGCACTTACTTTTGTACATTACTCACCGCGAATCATTGTACAGACTTCACAAGCCTTCAACTCGCCATTGGGATTTTGGGTGGGAGGGGCGCATTCTTCAGACGGAGT